AAACTGCAAATAAAAATTAACACAAATAAACCTTTTTATGTCAGTCAATATCCTATATGCATTAAAAATAAACAAGAATGATTTTCTCTCCCCTCAATCCTACTTCACAATCCTTTTTTTTTTCAGTTGAGTTTTGTGAGATGCAACTTGATTCCATTTTTAATGGAAGAGGAACCATTTCACAAAGATGTTTTTTTCCTGATGGGTATCTTTTCAATGCCATAGTGAATGCAAAAAAACATATGATTATGGTATTTACTTTTCCATTATAGTGTCCAGAGCAAGTTGTGGGATTCTAGCCTACTATTTTGAAGCTATTAAGTTTTAAGCAGCACAATGCCCCTTTCCTTTCAATTCCTTTTGAAGACAATGCACTCTTTGGTGGGAAGTGATGTCATAGCAACAGCCTGTAAATGTCCATTAGCAGCTGTCTTTTCATGGAATTATCTCTATATACTAGATTTTACACACACACAAACACACACACACGTTGGTGTATGTATATCACATGTTTATGTAATATTACTGTCATCTAAAAGAAAAAAAATGAAACCAGACCCACATAGCCATTGGTTGCATTTTCTTCTATGTGATGTAAGATACAAGGAACAGATTTTTTAGTTTGGCTAAAAAACATTTGCTACAGGATTGTAGCTCCCTAGAAATTATTTGGTATGACAGAAGAAGAAAAAACAATCAAAAATTCCATCCAGCTCTCTGTTTCCCTTTTCCCATTCCCCTTTTCCTTTCTTCTTTCTCTGAAACACCTGAAAGGAAGATGCAAGTAACTATTTGAGAAAAACATAGTTATGTATCCACAATCCACTTTTTATATGGAATTCTATATTGATCTACCCAACTAGTGATGAACCTGAAGCTAATTTTTTTGTTCAATACTTTATAAACAATGGCAGAGAATCCTAATTTGAAAAAAAGATACCTTCCCCATGCTTTTTACTTTGAGGCTATATAATATAATTATTGTTAATTTTTCCAATGTTGTCTAGTGATGTTTTGGTACAAGTTACAGGAAATGATTGGAGTCAGCCAATAAATCTAAGCGATTTTAACAAATGGTCCAATAAAAATTCTCTTTATTATATGATTAACTTTCACTTTGATTTCTGTGGGCCTGAAGTGTGACTAATTTAGTTTGGATATATTTGGAGATAGATAGATAGATAGATAGATAGATAGATAGATAGATAGATAGATATAGATATAGATATAGATATAGATATAGATATAGATATAGATAAAGATAAAGATAAAGATAAAGATAAAGATAAAGATATAGATATAGATATAGATATATGCAAGTCTTGGTGTATTCAGGTATTTTCCCATGTAAGATTGAGAGTATCTTATGTATGTATGTATGTATGTATGTATGTATGTAGGTATGTAGGTATGTATGTATGTATTTCTCTTTAGCCAGGTTCTCCCTACGTAAACCAAGATTTTTATGCAGCCCTAGTTCAGTGAAATCCCAATCCACTAGTTTCCCAATTCCAATTCACTGAACTAGGGCTGCATAAAAATCTTGGTTTACCTAGGAAGAACCTGGCTAAAGAGAAATACATACATACATACATACATACATACATACATACATTTCCCGTGTAAGATTTAGAGTATCTTGGCGACATTTCGATGAGGTCCCACTCGTCATCTTCAGGCTGGTGCCTTCGGCTTTGTGCCTGTGCAAGCAAAGCGTGATTGGAGCTGCCATCTCTCTATAAATACTGATGGGGAGGTGTGGGTGCTGGCTTTGTTGCTGTGAGCGGGTTGGTTGCCTGTGTTGTTACATCTTGATTAGTTGATGGAGTTGATGTTTGCAGATTAGTCGGCTGTTTCGTAACATCCTGTGTGGGTGAGGTCCTTGATGTGTGCCCATTAGTCTTTTGTGTTGTAACGATCTGGGTAATGGGCTCAGTAGTTGATGTAATGTCCTGAGCTGTGATGCCACATCTTGGGCTTTTGTTTGGCTCTGAGTTTGTGGTCTTGCCATGTGTGTGTATGCATATATATATATATATATATATATATATGTATGTATGTATGTATGTATATATATGTGTGTGTGTGTGTGTGTGTGTGTGTGTGTGTGTATGTATGTAGGTCTTTGGTTATTTGGGTTTTCTCCCGCGTAAAAGTGGAGGTGTCTTGGCAACATTTCGACAAAGTCTCATTCATCATCTTCAGGCTGGTGTTTTCGGCTTCATGCTTCATGCTTCCCGCCTACCAGCCATTTGGAAACCCGCCCTTATTGACAAACGAGTCACTAACACAAACAATGACACCAGACCCACACTCACGAGAGCCACACAGGATGTAACCACCACACATCCACGCAGAAAGAAGACTCAAACCCACACTGATGATAAGGCACGACCACGGACCAGAAGCCAGACCACAGCTGCATCATTAGCCACTTTAAACCCCTCCAATCCATACATGAAGCAGACTGACACTCACCATGAAGAGGTGGCATGGCCACGAACACGAAGCTAAACAACAGCAACACAGCTCACCAGCTCAAATCCCCCTGCTACTCAGACTAACCCGAGCACAACCAAGCCCCCACCTAAACAGAACACACACCCATCCAATCAGAGCACAGCCAACCCACCATCCAATCAGAGCACAGCCAAACCCTCAACCAATCAGAACATACCTCCACCCAATCAGAACACAGCCAAGCTCCCACCCAATCAGTTCACACCCCCACTGGCAGTTAAAAGGAACAAACAGCTGTGATCACACACATTGCTCCTAGAAGCACGAAGCTGAAAACACCAGCCTGAAGATGACGAATGAGACTTCGTCGAAATGTTGCCAAGACACCTCCAATTTTATGTGGGAGAAAGCCTGAATAACCAAAGACCTACATACAAACACCCGCAAAAACCTCAGAATATATATATATAATTTGTTTTATATATTTGTTTTCGTATATATATGAATTTTCATAAAATGTGCCTTGTAAAATCCATGAGACATGGATAACAATTAGGAAATAAAAGATGCCAAGAGAATATAATTCATTGTACCCTAAAAAAGAAAAACAACAGCAACAACAACAACCACTCACATGGGGAGGTCCTCCCAAATGTATCTTAAGACTTCTTCTGAATTTTTAGAACCACTACTGAAATGATGCAATGCATACATAATAAAATAAAATAAACGTTAGTTGCCACTCACATGGGTACAACAGTTGGAAATCTGTTAAAGGTGTAGCAGATTTTGTCAGTAGCAGCCTATATTCTGCATAGAATTCTCTTTTCTTTTATTGAGATGAAAAACTTGAAAGTCATCTTTGGTCCAAATGTCATTAACACCACAATGTTACACACATATCTCTAGCATACTGAGTTCTACATTAAAAATTATAATCTTCTTCTTAGTGAGTGGTGCCTCTGTGCCTTTTTACATCAAGAATAACAGGCAAAGAAAACAGAAAAATGTTGCCCATGAAAGCCTGAATACAAGTTTGGATTTTGGAGAATATTATTGCCAACTGATTTGGTCTACAGAATATTTGGAATGATATTCTAACACATTATCAAGAAATAATGCCATTTCCCCTCATAAGACCAGATACTGTGCAAAATGAGCAGTTTGTCATAACCTCATAACAATATAAATCCATTTTATGTCACCAGGCCTCTGGCTCATATAACTCTATCAATAAAAGCAGTTATTTAAAGTGTCAGACATTTTCCTACTACTATTAATCTTATACTGGCGATCTAGGGCTAAATTTAGAATTATGGGCATAGATTTTTCCCTCTCACCTACACACAAGTGGACAACCTCTAGTATTGTAGATGATAATTGACTTTAAATTTCCTTCAAAGCTGCAATAGCAGATTCTCTATCTCCTTCTTAATTTTTCTTATTTTTTCCACTGCTTTTCTGCACTCTTCCCCCCCACCCCATTTTATCCTAGATTATCCTTTTCCCAATTATAGGTGCTCTTCTGATTCATAAGTTTCAATTCCAACATTGAAAATTCTGAGAATTAAAGTTTATTCTCTGTTCTTTATTTCTTAGATATACCACAATCATATTATGATCTTTCATTAAGGACTGGTGTAGTAAAAACCATGCTGGATCAAACCAATTGCTCAGTGATGACCAAATGTGATCAAATAGATGGGAACCCTTAAGCAGAAGTTGAAAGGAATTGCAACTTGTATAGGCATAATGTGTCTGATACTAAAATAATAACAGGATTTTTTTTTACAACAGATAGCTGTCAAGACAGACCATTTAGGAATTTGTCATCTTAACATTTCAGTTTAATATTTCATCAGCCAAGATAGAAAGATTACTTCCAGAATTTTGTATTCTGTTACTAGTGCAAGCAAACTTGCATGAAATTAAATCAGAGAAGATTGCCAGTCACCAGTACATTATTAGAGTTTAAAAGACCAACATATTAAGCTGGGGATTGTGTGTTCTAAGACTAATGTTTGACTCAAGTTTCAATTTAAAATGGGTAAAGCAGCCAAAGGGCTGACAATGATTCAGTTTGTGCCTGTTGATTCCCAGTTTTGATGACCAAAGAAGAGCCTAACAATTTCTGGAACCACTACAGATTTCAACACCTTCCAGAAAATCAATGACAAAAATGCTCATAAACACCTCAGTGTATTTCTAGGATGTCTGATGCTGAAGCAGCAGAGGCTGAGCCAAATATGACTTTAACCTGAATTATGCTAAACAGTGCAATTTGAATCTAAAAGCATTTCCAGAAGATAATGAGCTATGTTAAAATCAACTGAAAAGATCATACTGCTCATTCTGTTATGACTTGATTTGTGTAAATTCAATATCTTTCCCTATAAAGGCTTTTAAAAATCCATTAATAAAATGTAGTTCTGGCTTTACAGCTGACAAACAGTCACCTCCCACAGCCAAGAATAATAATGAAAATTTACAAGCCAGACGTTGGAAGCAGAATATTGACCAAAGTCTGATTTGGTGCCTACCTGTCTACAGGTGAAGACTTTGAATTGCGTCCTTTCTTTACTTGGGCATATAATGCTTCTATTGACGATGCTTCCCCTGGGCTCTGTGGTCTACTGCTAATTGTGCTGGTACTCATGGAGGAATATGAAGAAATTCCAGCAAAGATTGATTCAGAATCACATGTATAACTCCTGCTTAAATCATGGATCTCAACATAATCTCGTTCCCGGGCTTGTCTTTCACGAAACTCTCGGGTCTTGGCTTGTATTCTGGAAATGAGAAATAAGTTTGAAAATAGGGTGAGAAAATAATTGCAATTCATGGGTAACTGAAATTTAAATTGATAAAAAAAATAGCTTTAAGGTCTAAATATTTAAGTATTGATATACATGGGGTTTTTGCAGTGCAGTTTCTTACTACTTAAAAATTATCAGAAGAATTAATATAATAGACATGATAGATGGTTTGCAAATTACACAGATTTGCATATAGCTATATTGATATTACTTTGCCTAATTATGCACTGAACAAACCATTGGGTTACTGAATACAAGAATTTTTTTAAAAAAACTAGATTGCTTTAGCGCAAGAACCCTTGAATATTTCTCCCATACTATGTGGACATGAATCATAATGTTATAAGAGCTTTGAGACCATTTCACATGGTAATTATTAATCATTTCTGTTTGCATCGTTATATATTCCACACTATAACCCCCTGTATCTCTATGGTTGCCACAATCATTTTATGAAAAGAATATGCTTATGGCTTTATCTTATATTTATCCTAATTCTGCTCTTTATCTATTCAGATTCTTTCACATCTTTCAACTCCCCTATTGTATGTTTTTTATAAAGTATTAGGAAGGATTGTATTGATCTGATTTACATGGAAAAAAATCAATAGAATGCATGCAAATACACATAAATTTTACATATTGGATATCACCAAAAAAAAAAAAAAAGTATTAACATTGCATTCTTATCATGCAAACATTCTTATAGATTTTTCAGTTTAGCTCTAGATGCATAAGGATGTCATTCATTCAAATAGGGCAAAACTAACCATCTATCTATATTTTATATGAGAAAAACAGTCAAGTAGGACACAAAATCATCATTTGAGATACAAGATTAAATTGCAAGAAATAAGAAGATTCTTGCCCAAAGAGATTTGATAAAAATACAACAAGAAAAGTCCTGCAAGGACCAACTTTGAGTGGCTCTAAGTCTGTTTATGGAAATTACCAAATGTAAAATTAAGATTATCTCACTGTAATATTATACTAATATAAAACTTTGTAGAATATGTTGAATGTAGCAGCTTTAACCGAATGTCAAAATTATAAACTGCACATACTTGTCTACCTAAATTGTACAAAAATGGCTTTTTATAATGTAATGTGCTTAAAAGTTCTCTTCCAAATGGTTTGGGAGATCAAAACACCTTTCTTTTAATTCCTTCCAAAATATTAACCTACAAATATAAGTATAATCATGTGTTACAATTATTTTCTTGTAAAAAAAAAAAAGAGTTGATTTATATCAATTAAGCTATTGAGAAGAGCTGAGATTTATATGGATTTCCCCATGTGTGTCTGTGATCAGGAGAGTTCTCAAACTTGACTCCTTTCTGATTTGTATAAAATTAATTCTTAACTGGTAAGTAAACAAATCATTAAAGGGAAGGCAACTAGATACTCCTTTTGGTTCACATGTCTATTTATGTTGATGGATGCCCATTTTTACCCTATTTCAAGACAGGTCAAATTGTTCAATACATCCTGCCCCTTCTCATCATTCTTGGTTACTAGCCAGACTATTAATAAATTATAAATCATTAAATTTCATTAAATTTCATAATCCTTGGTACTACATCGTTTTTCCTTAAACCCTTTACCACTCCTTTTTGACTCCATTCCATTTTTGCACATCTATCTACAAAGCATTGTCTCAGTACAAATCTGTGTCCCAAAAAAAAGCACCAGATAGACTCTGTGTCAAGCTACTAGGCTACACTGCTCTCTCCATAAATCAAGGGCTGGGTTGACAGCCCAAAAGACCTGGCCGTGATTAACATTAGACATATGTATGGCTTCCAAACATGTCATATTTTTAATTTTTATAATTCTATTTCATAAACTTGCTAGGTTTTTAAAATGTATTATTAACAAAGTAATAGTAGATCAAAGTAATTATTTGAAAAAAATAATAATAATCAAGTTCGACAATTGAGCCCAAAATTTCTCTTGCTACGTGAGACATTTGTTAAGTGAGTTTTGCCCCATTTTATCACCTTTCTTGCCATAGTTGTTAAGTGAATCACTCCCGTTGTTACGTTAGTGTCTGGCTTCCCACTGACTTTGTATGTCAGAAGATTGCAAAAGATGATTACATAACCCCTGGACCCTGTAACCTCATAAATAGGAATCAATTGCCAACTTCTGAATTATGATCACATGACCATGGGGATTCTACAATGGCTGTAAGTATGAAAATTGGTCATAAGTCACTTTTTTTAGTGCTGTTGTAACTCTGAATGGTCACTAAATGAACTGTTGTAACTTGAGAATTATCTGTATCTCTTTTTATTCCCCATGAGATCTGAAATTCTAGATAGTCACTTTAACTGAACACCAACATTTTCATCAATTCTGGTCAAGACATTTGCTCATACTTTGGCTCACAACTTTTAATCAATCTGTGTTGAATAAATCAGCAAACTTCACCCTTTAAAATTCAAGTTAAAGACCTATAGTAGATTTCCTTCTACTATCAAATCTCAGCTAGACCATAAGATCTCAAACAAATATTGTGCTTCACAGAAATTAAATGCAGATTTCCCAGACTGAGAAATCCCCAAATGAACTCCAATTCCTTGGAAATTCTACAAATACACAAAGAGTCTTGCTGTTGATGCTGTGATTCTATTTGATGCCTTAATAGTTCCAGATGGCCTTTGTTGACAGAAAGTATTCTATTCTTTTAGCATGATCTCTTAGCTCAACAACTATCTAAAAAGTGGTACTATTGTCTTTTTAAGAACTAGTATTCCTTGCATTAATTATTTGTTGTTCTTCAATTTTCATTGGCATAATGAACATAATCAGTCTTCTCTTTTACTTCTATACATAAAACTAGAAGAAAGGTGTTAGCTAGCTATTTGTTACTATCCATGTTATAATGAGTGGAAGAGTCATGGCAAAAGAGATGCAGTATGCTCCCTCCCACACACTGGGGTAGACCAGGTGTCTTGACAGAAAAACACTTAATATATATTCTTTATCAGCAATACACACACACACACACACACACACACACACACACACACACACACGCATCAGGTGGTTTCTTTCATGTATAAAGCAACTAAAAACAAACTGGATTAGCGTTAACCCTTATTATTGGTGGGGGGATCTAAGCCCATTAAATTATATACCTCCCAACTTTAATCTATGTTTTCAAAATGTATAATTTCTAAGATTCATTGCTTTGAAATAATAAATATTCACAGTTTAATGAATTATTTGTCCTTTGCCATTGTCATAAATAAAACACTTTGCATTTACATAGACAAAATATTAAATAAACGGATGCTCTAAATAAAGTAATAAGGTTAATTTCCTTCCTGCTGTCACTAAATTCATGTTAGCAGCCTCTCTTCAGCTTGACATCAATTAATGATTTTAATTCCACACTCTTGTCACTATACTCACTACCCTTTTCTCTAATTAAAATGGATGATGCATGATGCAGGAAAAAAAAACATAAGACTTCTATTCTTGTTGTAACATTTCTATTCATTAGTATACTTTGCTAAAGAAAAAAGTATTGGAATTTGAATGGAACTAAAGAAATAGGAAGAATGATTGTATTACTACTAAGAAATGCAGGGATTTCCAATCACAGGAGAATAGGCAGATAATATGCAGAATATTATCAAATCCTCAGAACAAATTACCTATGTTTGTATCTGTCTATATCTCATTCAGTTTTCCAGGTCTTGAGCACGATTCCTACTAACTTTCTTAGCAGCAATTGCTTCCTTCTAAGGACCGTGATGGCAAACCTACAGCACGTGTGCCACAATATCGGTGGGCACATGAGCTCAGCTGATTTTCAGGCCTTCTATTTTCTGCCTCTGGAGGGCCTTGGGGGATGGTGGGACTGGAAGGCCCGTTTTTTTCCTCTCCCCAGCCTCCAGAGCACTTCTAGGAGCCTGGGAAGGACAAAAATGGCCTTCCTCATCCCCCAGAGGCCCTCTGGAGGGCAGAAATGGCTGTTTTCCAATTTCTGGTGGGACCATGTATTTCTAAGCCTGTTTAAGGCTTAGTTTGCAATAGCTTTTTGGCTAATGTAGCCTTCCCTGGACCCGGCTACATTAGCGAATTATCGCCCAGTCTCCAACCTTTGCTTCGTGGCGAAGGTTGTTGAGAGTGTGGTAGCGCGACAACTGCCCCAGTACCTGGATGAAGCCGATTATCTAAACCCGTTCCAGTCGGGCTTCAGGCCAGGGCACAGCACGGAAACGGCATTGGTCGCATTGGTTGATGATCTCTGGAGGGCTCGGGACAGCGGTTGTTCCTCTCTGTCCTGGTCCTATTAGATCTCTCAGTGGCTTTTGATACCATCGACCATGGTATCATGCTGCGACGATTGGGCGGGTTAGGAGTGGGGGGCACCGTGTTGCGGTGGTTCTCCTCCTTCCTCTCCGACCGCACACAGTTTGTGTTGGCAGGGGGGCAGAGGTCGACCTTAAGACACCTTTTTTGTGGGGTGCCGCAAGGGTCAGTCCTTTCGCCTCTTCTGTTCAACATTTATGTGAAGCTGCTGGGCAAGATCATCCGTGGTTTCGGAGTGAGATTCCATCATATGCTGACGACACTCAGCTGTACATCTCCACTCCGAACCAGCCCACTGATGCCCTTGACATGATGTCCCGGTGCCTGGAGGCTGTGCGGATCTGGATGGGGAGAAACAGGCTCAAACTCAACCCCTCCAAGACTGAGTGGCTGTGGCTTCTGGTGTCCCGGTATAGTCAGCTGGCACCATCGCTGACTATTGGGGGTGAGATCTTGGCCCCCACAGAGAGGGCTTGCAACTTGGGTGTTCTCCTGGATGCACGGCTGTCTTTGGAAGAGCACATGACAGCCTGGCCAGGGGAGCTTTCTATCGGGTTCCCCTGATGCACCAGTTATGTCCCTTTCTGAACCGGGATGCCCTGCGTACAGTCACTCATGCCCTTGTTACATCCCGTCTGGACTACTGC